AATTTGAAGATTTAGTCAACTTATTAAGATTTGAATAAAATTTGTTTATTATTTTTTTTTATTTTTTTATTAAAGGGGTAAAATTTCCGAGTTGTTATTATCGGGGGGAAAATTTCAGACTTGATCCAAAAATTCTCCTGATTAATTACTAATTCAATTGTATCAATGATTTGAATATTTTTCACATAATTATCTATAGATCTTTTTAGTGTATTTTCTACTAAAAAATCAATAAAATGGTTAATTACAACAATTACATCCTTTGATTTTACTTTGCTTAAACTTTCAATGCTTTTTCTAAAATTTTGACTATTTAGATACTTCTTTATTCCCTCATGTAAAATTTCTTTTATTTAAATAAAATAATTAACAACAAACACTTTAAATAAGCCATTAAAATCAAAATCTTCATTATATTTATCATGTTTTTGAAGCATGTTAAATAAAAAAAGATCCAACTTTTTATCCAAATCTAGTGTTTTTACTTTTTGAAATAAAAAAAGTACGTTCAATACTTTCATATTGTTAAGAATTTTCCTTAATAATGATTTAAGATCATATTCAGATATTTTTAAATCATTAAAAGTGTGAAAAAAAAGTTCTTGTAACAAAGACTTAGGATGATAACTAGACCTTATAATATTACATATTTCATTCTCCTCATCGGTTATAATTTGCATTACTTTCTTATCTAATTTATTTATGTCATTAATAAGATCTTGAATTGCATCATTTTCAGTTGACGTAGATAATATTAAATTTAAAAGGCAGTAAATCATGGGTTAAAAAATTTAATAAAAAGAAATATTTAAATAAAAAAGAAAGTAAAAACATGTTAAATGTTAAAACTTTTTAGTAATTAAAATTATTAAATTATTTTGAAAATTATTAACTATATAAGTATAATATTAATTATTTAAAAAATAATTAACAACGTGTTACAATCTGAAACAAATGATGTCGTTGTTTCAGAAAATACTATAAAAGAAAATTGAAGTAAATTATTACCTTCAAGATCATCTGTGATCTCTATTGAATCATCAATACCCATCTTCTGAGCTTCCAAGTCTTTAATATTTTCAGT